TGATATGGCCAGGGAAAGTGAAGTAACCATTGAAACACCAATAGCAAACTTCGCAACAAGGTCGTCATCAGTGAGATCGAGAACCTCAGGGCTGAACACAGAGCCATTATCATAGACAGAAAGAACCACAAGACCATATGAAAAGGGCCTAATGCCTAGCTTGGCAAGCAATGCAGCTTCAGAAGATCCCACCTGGTCTCCCTTCTTGATGAGCTCAACCGGTGTAATGATTTCAACAGTACCCTTGTTAATCTTAGTGGGAATGTTGAGAACCTGGAAGAAAGAGGTCTGGGATGGGTCGAGCCCTGTGTTGCCAGGAGGAACAACAACATCAATGGGAGCAACCAAACCAACACGGGCAGGGGCTCCAACCTTGTATTTTGCAACCTCTTCGCTAACCTCCTTCAAATCTCCTTTGGTAAAAATCAAACCAACATTTCCAACAAGGAGAGGAATCAAGTTGATGAAAGCATTGTTCCCAGTCTTCTCAGCATGCATCCTAACAGGTCTCTTCATCATAGTGTTCTTCCCCATAAGAACCACAGAATCCCCACGAAGACCGCTTCGAATACTCTGAAGCTGCTTAGATCCAACATTATCAGCATTAACAATAAGAATCTGAGAGAACTCGTCTTGAAGCTGGCATAGCTTGGCGTCGTAAGACTGCTTCTTCTCGGCTTTGGTTGGTTTTAAGAGGGCACAGAGTTATGAAGTGGACAAAGTCCACCTTTTCTAGTTGAAATCCATAGCAAAAAAATAGCTTTAAAATGCCCTATTTGTTGAGTATCCTAGATTTCTCGCTTCAGAATCAGGGCCAGAGATCCAAAGAAATCTTATCAATGCTCAGGCTCAGTAGGTTTGACTTCATCAGCTTTTCCGCTGTCCTCACCTCCATCCTCAGGCAAATCAGAGGTCCAGAGGGTCAGGTTGTCTCTCAACAACTGCATGATTAAAGTGCTGTCCTTGTATGACTCTTCACTCAAGGTATCCAACTCCGCAATCGCCTCATCAAAAGCTTGTTTGGCCAAATGGCAACCCCTTTCAGGAGAGTTCATAATCTCATAATAAAAGACAGAGAAGTTGAGTGCAAGTCCAAGACGGATTGGATGTGTTGATGGAAGATCAGTGTTTGCAGTGGCTGAAGCAGCCTCATATCCTTTAAGTGACTGCTCAGCAGCCTCTTTCCTTTCTTGGTCAGTCTTGAACTCAGCAAGATACCGGAAATAATCACCTTTCATCTTATGATAGAAAACATTAGCTTCTGCCGAGGTGGAAGAAGGAACCAAGTGCTGATCTATAATAGTCAGAATGTCACCACAAATTTTTGAGAGTTCCTCCATGACCCAAACAGTCTTGACAAAAACAATGTAATGGGAACAAATGCTCTTAGATATTGCATATGAGTTTTTGGAATTATGTAAATGGATTTGAGCAAAGTTCAAAATCCCAATGAACTCTATTATTTAACATGCTTTCCTCTTGTGTAGATAGATGTATATCATTGCAACACAATTTGGTTAAATTTGTGAAATTGGCCTTTGGCCCTTTTTTTTTTGTTTGAAACAACAGAAAAGAACGTGATCTCGCAGAAATAATTTTTGAATAAAAATTCTCTTCTTGACGAATCATTGCAATGAAATGGCCTATATCTTGAAATGTCATTTAACTATGCAGAATCTCATTGCTTCACGAAATAAAGCTCGTAACATAACTTGAAACAAATCTTCATGCCTTGAAAATGCGCCTAGCTTTGCACTAATCAACTCCATCATGAATTTTCAATAAGATTTGAGTTTCAATTTGAAGAATGCTTGAAGCAAAAATCAACTCAACTAGAAATCCACCTGAAATATTGCTCAAAACAAACTGAAACAAGACTTGAAATTAGTTGGATTAAAGCCTCGAAATATCTCACACCATATGGCCCAAACTAAAGCTTAACTACATGGTTTGGAATCCACTTGATCATCTTTATTGCTTGACTACAAGTACATAGGCTCATCTTTCTTCTATCTTCATTTGAACTCAACATATTTTGCAAAAACTTGTGATCATACTAAACACAAACCAACAAAACTCCCAGACCCGAGAAAAAGCTAGGGGATCTTGGCCCAGGGTCAAATGATTGCTTAGAGAACAAGCACCAAGCAACTATTATTCGTGATGAGAAAAGTAAGAAAGGTAGGGCGAATTTAGGGTATGACAGTCCTCTGATAGGTTGCACATGCATTTTTTTTGAACTAAAGGGGATTATATTGTACCTCTAGTTAGTGTGCTCCATCATGAAAATTGCCTTATTCTGATCCTTCTTGTGCATGGAGATTTGGTTATACTAGATATATGCGTCCATGAAGGACAAAATCTTGTACCCGACAGAGTTGTCAATGTTTGGAAGATAAAAATCCTTGAGGTAGGCTCTTTTGAGTTTGGTATAGTCAACACAAATGTACCATTTTTCACCAAACTTCTTGACCAATACCATGTTGGATAGCCAGGATGTGTAGTTCAATTACAATATAAGGTTGACTGGTAGGTGTCTGTCCACAATGCTCTTGGTGGCTTCAGCTTTCCCAAGTAACCGAAGTCGTCTTCTCTAGGTGACATATTTGAACGACATGCTTATGGAAAGCCATGTTGGGGTCGATGCCCAATATCTCCTTCGGGGGGAGTATGAAAATAGACCAATGTTATCTTTGAGCCATTAATAAGTTAGTCTTCCATGGAGTTGGTTAGATTTTACTTAATCTTCACAGTACATGCAAGATTATAGTTGAGTTGGATGAATAAAAAATTACTATATGAAAGTTTTGCTTTGTATGTTCATCCTGACTTCAACAGGGAGTGGACTCTCACTACCATGATCTTTCGTGGATGTAGTTTCTTATAGATGGACATCGAAGTCTACAACAATGACATTTAGGGGGTTATTTGGAAGAGATAGCCTCCTTCAACTTCCCTTTCTCTAAGACGGTGGTCGAATCCTGACTCTTCCGTAGAGCATTTTAGAAGTGTCGAGCTCTTATTAGATATGCTCTTATGGTCACTACTTGGTTCCATTATGCAGAGGAAGAATGAAACGTTGTGAGAGTATATCGACATGGAATGACATTGTTACAATACCTCTAGTTGCGTTTCTATCTTCGTTGAATTTTTTTTATAACTTTCTTCAACGTGGGGGAGTCTCTTTTGTTGTTTCACATGATTAAAAATGTTCAATAGGAGTTATTTCATGTTTGGTGCGTCGAATGAAATATGGAGTTGTTGGACATCATATAATGATGGTGAAACAAAAGCGTGGGGAGGAAGATGGTAGAATTGCGGTGGAGGAAATGAAAAGTATGTTAGAGAAATTGGATTATGAAGTGAAGGAACTGGAATGTGAGGACGAGGAACTGGATAAGTCTCCAAAATTGATGGTTAACTGACAGTTGAGGAACTAGACGACTCTCTATAATAGACGGTTGAGGAGGAACTTGACGAGTCTCTATATCAGACGATTGAGGAATTGGACGAGGCTCTAGAAAGGTAACGATTATAATTCCATATGGTTGCCTAACTATAACGTCGAAAGCCATTGAATCCAGGTCAATTGTCTTGATGGAAGAAAGGTAATGCTCACATGCACCGTCAATTATTTGCCAGGATTGAATTGAACCTATGAACTATTAGATTTTTATAGACCTTTAACCACCACGTAATAACATTTAATCATTAAGATGTCTATCTTTAGTATGTTTGTTAAATGTAAAGACGTTAATCATTTCTTAATTTTTATGTTAGATTTATAAAATGTCAAACCAACATTGTAAATTATTCCTTCCGTCTTATAATGTCTTATAATATGTCTTTTTTTTATTTATTTGTTTTCAATTATTTGTTCTTTTAAGATATCAATGTTATATTTATTATATTTTCCCACTATTTTATTCTTATTTGTTATATTTATTATATTTTTCCACTAGTTTATCCTTATTTGTTGTAAGGTAAATCATGTAGGTATTCCACTCTCTATTACTAATAAAGTTATTTTAATAAATAACATTTATTTTATCATTAAACTCAAACAATTAATTATTATCTTAAAAATATTAAAAAAATAAGCATATTTTTAATTAATGTTATAGTCCATTTTCAGTCAAATAAAATATGAACTTAATGCATAAATATTATTTTAAAGTTTGTGTATTTAATTTTTTTATAAAAATAAATATTATATAAAAGTATCAGTGTGATTTAATTGACATGTTATATAAAAATATTAGTGTGATTTAATTGACAAGGTAAAAGAGTGCATTTATTTTATTTTTAAAAAATATTAAATTCTTTAATACATGTCATTAAACTCGTGATATCATATAATCCATAAATAATAAAAATGGTATTCCTACTCTATAAAAATACACCTACATAGGATATTATTGTTCAGTCAACAATAAAATATTATAATAATTTTTTTAAAATATAAAATAAATTTTTATTTTTTTATTTTTTAATTAAAAGATACTAATAAATTATGTGATTATCAATTTGATAATTTTGTTAATCAATATTTTATATTTTATTAATTAATTTTATTTATTATTAAAAATTATTTCTAATATATTTGGTAAGAATATAATTATGTCTAAAGTTAAGGTTTTGTTTAGATAAATGAAATTAAATGGAGATGGAGCGGAACGAAATAAGGTGGAATGAAATGATATTCTATCATTTAAATTCAATGAAGTGAAACAAAATGGAATAGTATGAATTTCATTCTATTCTATCATTTACCACTATATTTTTTCTCCTCTAATTTAAACCCATAAATAATTTACCTTTTGTTCCGTTCTAAAATTTCCAAACATGAGACATTTATTCTGCTTCACTCTATTTCACTACTTTGCTTCTTTCAGCCCAATTTATTCCACTCCTTGCATTAATATTCAAAGATTGCCTAAATATAAATAAGAGTTAGAGTTAGTAGTAAGTGTGTGGTTGTGAGTCTCTTTTGTTTTGGTATGTCTACAATGTTCTTACAACTGCAACTACATCATCATCATCTTCCCACACCACTGCTTCATAGAAACAACCCATTCTCTCCTCAACTCTCCTTTCTCTCTCCCAACCTTTTTCCCTTTTCCTATTTTTCTCCTTCACCATGCTCATTCTCAATCAATCTCTCTACTTCACACACTTCTCCTTTCTGCCTTCGTCCATCATCAACTCTGGACTCCACCGTAACGACAGACGACCCTCCGGTGAGGTTGGTGGCCGTCGTTGGCCATGGAGCTGTCAGCCCTCTCAACTCGGCTTCTTGGGAACAAGTCATGCTTCACACAGTTAACTATTCTCAACTCTGAGATCCAAATGCTAATTTCAATTTATATGAAAACTTATCTTATCATTGCAAATTTCTTTCAACTGTTATTTTCTTCCAAGTGTTTATTGAGAAAGTGATTTATTTTTCTATCTGCTCTTCGCTTTTACCAGGCAAAAAGATTGAAATGGGTTGATGAAGGATATGAACTTCTTGTATTTACCGACGAATCCATTCGATCCAATGATCGAATGGCCACTAGGCTCGAGGGAGAATTACTGAAGACGCATATATTAGTGATTGTTGCTGTAACAAACAAAGAATCAGTAAACTGGATTACAATCAGAACCAAAACTATTGAAAATGTAATATGCTTCGACTCTTCACCGGATTTGAAGAACAAATTAGGAGGCTATGATGTTCATAATGATGTGAAAGGAAGTATATTTGGAAATTTTTTGGGGAGTTCCGAGTTAGATAAAACGAAAGATTCATACGAAGTAGTACAAACTGTGGCCGAAGCATGGGATCGACGTAGTTCTGATGATATACGATTCTGTTTGTTACTGTTAATCAATGCTTATATAAGGCCAGTTCCAATATTGAAGAACTTAAGAGCAAAGGGTTTTTCAACCTTGAACTGTATGTTGAAGAACTGTGGCAAGCAAGTACTTAACTGCTTGTTGGATCCTAATTGTAGAAAAGCTCTTCAGTGCTTGAACAAGTGTAGTCCTGTTGATCAAGTCTGTAACTACCGATGTATCGCTTCGTACGAAAGTGAAAATCTAGAAGCCTTTTCGCTTTGTGTTTTACAGAAAAACAACTGTCTTGAATTGGAAGCAGAAGTCCCTACCAAGCCATACGTGCCAGCGATGGTTCAGTTTCGCGGGCAGGATTTAAGCCATGAAATCGCGGAAGATTTGTTTGTTGGTTGGTTGGGAAGTTTGCAATGGAGCTGGCGCGTTGTGGCGGGGCAGAATCCAGCGTATGATCAGTTTCCTTGCCAATATCAGCTATTCTATAGAGGAAAAGCAAAAGGGTCGTTCTGGTATGAACCGGTGTTTCAGGTAAAAACATTTGAAGGCGAAATGGTATGGAGGAGGAGGAAATATCGGGTTAAAAGAGGTAAGACGCAAGGAACATTCTATTTCAGTGTATTGGATAACGGAGTTGTTTCAAATGAGTTTTGGACAGTTGTCGATGTAGCCGATGATCTTAGTTGGGGCTTGTTTCACTATCATGGTGCTGCTAGGGCTGCAGGGCAGTCTTATACTGGGGCAGTACTTGTTAGTCCTGATGGAGCATTTCCAGATGAAAGAGAGAGGAGAAGAATAGTTGGTGCATTAGATAAATGTGAAATCAAAGAGTGGGAGCTTTTTTTTGTTGACAATTGTTCATGCATTGATCCTCCATTGGGAACTCCAGAGGGTTCAAGTTTACATGCTGTGGTACAAATTGATGATCCAAAATGGATGCATCTCTGAAACTCTTGTTAATTTGTTCTTTTGCTGCTCCTAGAAATAACTTATTAGCAACCATCTTGTTATTACATAGTTTGGATCGTAACGTTTTATTCATTCATGGTCACTTTCTTAAATTCCCTCACTCAACACTTCATATTATATTTTCTATAATGACACAAGACAAAATGCATAATCAGATATAAACTATGACAATGTCATAGTTAGGACAACATCACACACAATACGATTAACAATAGTATAATTTTAGCCAATATATAAAACATAAACATGTATTAGGGTTGAGAGCAATTAAAATTAACACAAAGTATGATAGTTTATATCACAAGAATATTATTGAACAAGCAAAATTCATAAATTTGATCAAAAAACAATAGTATGCAAGCGTAATGGTTGCAAATGGCACCTCTTCCACTACACCATTATGTATTTATTTATTTAGAAATTATAAGTTAAGTTAAATGTTATATTATATTTAATGTTATATCATACTAAATAAATACATTTAAATGGATACATTTGAAATGTTGTAATATATACATTTGAAGTAAACAAATAGACAACAAAAATTTACTAGTCTAATGGAAAGAGGTGTCTCTTGCAATAATGAGGATATGGGTTTAATTCTTGGTGTAGGCAAAGTTTTTAATTTTTGATCCTTAAACATTTTAACAAGTCAATAATAAAATAATAATAAAAATTTACACGTAATTAAAATATATAAAAAAAAATAATTTTAATAAAGTAGTTTAACATGTCAATAATAAAATAATAATAAAAATGCATAAATAAACTTTTAATAAAGCAGTGTTTCTTTTATGAAGTCTTTTTTGAATTTGTCCCAAATAGTCGGAAATAAAAATGTATATTAATTCAGAAAAAAAAATATTTATTTTACTAGATATAATGTAAGGAAGTAAGAAGTTTGTCACCATTTATTCGTTAATTGTGACAACAGAATGCGAAACATGTCTAAAATTGATTAATAGAGTATGAAGTGAGATTGAATGAGTTAGGGTTGTGATTGAAAAAGACTTTAGAGAAAATGGTTGAAGTGATAAAGAAAATGAATTTGAAATACGAAAGTTTTGAAAATTTTTAAATTCGGGTACTAAACAGTGAGAGGAATGCTAATGCATGTTTTATAAAGTTAAGCTTTGGATGTTAACTTCTAGATAGTGTGTCAAAATTTTGATCTTTCAATGGGTGAGGCTATATGAATATCATTGTAAAGAATGCGTTGAAAAAATAGGAACATTTTCATACTTTCATAAAATTTTGTGAGAAATACATGGAATGTACAATCCTATGTTAAAATGTGCATTGTAGGTTGCATCAGCAAAATGCATCTCTTTCAAATGATTCTATGAATATAAGATTTGGAGTTTTTTTTTAAGGATTGCTTTCTGATCCTAGTAAAAAATTAAAACTATTTCTTTAATTCAAAAATATATTTATGAAACGCACTTTATTTACAAACAATTTGTTAGTAATCGGAATAGGTCTCAATTTTATGACAAAAAATAATTTGAAAACAAATTTATAAGTGTATTTTCGAAATATACTAAATCAGAAACAAATATATAAACGAAACAGATGTAGAAATAGAGATAAATTAACATTGATAATTGTTATGACATACATAAAAAAACGAAATATTACATAGATAAATTAACATCGAATACATTTCATGATCAAGTAAGACGTTTCAACATTTTCATAATATTTTTGGTCGATATCGCAATCTTCGCATCCTGCTAGATCGGAACTTTTGTTTCATAACAATGAAGTTTGCTCCACATAAACTTTAAATCTCCATTCATCTTCAACTCAAATTTGATGAACTAAGTCTTCTCTTCATTGTCAATCGAGGGTGAATGGTATTCGAGTTTCACAACTTTTTTATTGTTTGAGTATTGTAGAAGATTCTCTAATATGAATTTCAGATCTACAAGAGAGGTGAACTCTATGACCCTAAATTCAAGTGAGGTCTTCATGTCGTTGAAGTAGACAACTACGACATACCAATATATGCTCATTCTGGTGTGATGTGATTTTGTTAAAAAGATGAGATAAGTGACTCATGTTCATGCAAGTTTTAGATCAATATGGGTCTTAGAAGCGCAATTATGTCTCAGGAGATATTCAAGAGATGTACTACCGGATACATCATGTTTTGTTTTGTGAAATTATGGTGAATCCGAAAATGTATTTTCGCATAAATTTTTGTTCTTATTTTTTAAAAAACCTTTGGGATGCATCCTAATATGTATTTCTGGATTCACCAAAAAGTCATTTTAGAAAACAGAACTTGTTATAGAAACAAAATTTGAGAAAATTTAGAGAAAACGTAACATATATTAAAATCTATGAAAGTGTATATATTTGACATAATTAATATAATCCAAGATTACATACAAAACATGTCTAACCATGTTGTGAATCAGATACCTTTTAACAAAGTATAAACGGTTTCTTTATGATCAAGAAACACACAAGGATTAAGGTTAACAAAGAAAACAAGGTAAAACAAGGAACAACAAGGATTGGTTATAAACTGTTATTCTTTCCTTACTCTTAGAACAAGATTACAAGTATACAAGAATAACAAAATAACCTCTCTCTCTCTTGAAATTAGGATTTTATCTTCCTATTTTTCCTTATTCTAAGATTGAAAAACTAGCATCCTATTTATAAGAAAAAATAGCACACTAACCTAATGGATTTTTTTAACAATTACCCATTACAAGCTCACTTAGGGTACAAGTTAACTTAACAACCCTAGCAATATTGACTAATGCATGTTAGAACAAACTTCGACTACAACATGCATTACTCTGACAGCAGCTTGCAAACATACTTCGACCTCATGCTTAATTCCTATCGAACCAGAAGCTAGCCTTCGACCATACTAGAGTTCGATCCAATATCTCATAAATCTCCACCTTGGAACAAACTCTATAACATCAAGAAACTAGCTTTCCTCATGCAGCTTTATCAACTGCATACAGTGGAAAAACTTGCAACTGGACAACGTCTTGGTGATCATATCAGCAGCATTATGATCTGTCGAAACCTTCAGCACTTGGACTTCTCCACGCTTGATTACCCATCTGACAAAATACAACCTTATATCAATGTTCTTGGTTACTCATGATAGGCTGAATTCTTCGACAGGTGTATTGCACTTTGATTATCACATTTAACAGTGATAACTCGACCTTGAAGTTTCAGCTCCTTTGCAAAACCTTCAAGCCACAATGCTTCCTTCACAGCTTCAATTAAGGAAATATACTCTGTTTCAGTGGTTGATAAGGCAAAGACCTTCTGAAGTGTTGCTTTCCAACTGATTGTTATTCCAAACATAGTGAGCACATATCCAAAAATAGATTTTCTGGAATCCATACAACCTACATAATCAGAGTCGACATATCCTTCGATTGCTGCTTTACTATCTTCACCCGAGGCTCCACCATAAATTAGGACTCTATTCAGAGATCCATTTATGTACCTTAGAATCCACTCCAATACTTGTCAGTGAGCCTTTCCAAGATTCGCCATGTACCTGCTTACAAGACTTACTGCATATGTTATGTCGGGTCTAGTACAAACCATAACATACACCAAAGAACCCACTATATTAGCATATGGAATGATATTCATATAAGTTCTTTCAACATTAATGTTGGGACACTGATCTATACTCAGCTTGAATTAAGGGTTTGTCGGAGTCACAACAGGCTTTGAGATCGACATACCAAAAATTTTGAGGACCTTCCGTAGGTATGCCTCTTGAGATAAGTATAATTTCGACTGCTTTCTATCTCTTTGGATGTCAATCCCAAGAATCCTGGACGCAGCTCCCAGATCCTTCATGTCAAACTCCTTATTGAGTTCATTCTTCACCCTCATTACATCTTCGACATTGTTGCTTTCTATTAGAATATCATCCATATAGAGCAACAAAATAACAAATGAATTACCTAGTCGAAATCTGAAGTAAACATAGTGGTCGAACCGACTTCTGATGAAACTTATGTGTGCCATGAACTTGTCGAATCTCCTATTCCATTGTCGAGGAGATTGTTTCAGTCCATATAAGGATCTATTCAGCTTGCACACATAATCTTCCTTCCCTTTTTCGACATACCCTTCAGCCATTCAGTCTTCTTTCAACTCCTCATAACTTCCTTATAGTCTCTAGGTTCTTCGTCTAGAACCTCACTTGCAGAGATTAAGGCATAAGCTATAGGATCTGCATACCCAAGTCTCTGAGGTGGCTTGATGACTCTCCTCGACCTGTATCTTGCTAGCAGGTAGTCATTATCAGTCTCCTCATCTTCGACAACATCTTCTGCATCTTCTTCGACTTCATATGGGGTACGCAATTCAGCATCAACGTGCCCCACCTTAACATGAATCTCTCCTTGTTCCAGCTCTTCGCCAACATCATCAGTTTTCTTGAAAGCCATCTATGCTTCATTGAAAACTACATCTCAACTGATGATACACCTCTTGCGACCTGGCTGTAGGCACCATAGCCTATAAGCATTGACTCCTTCAGGGTATCCCATGAACATGCATTTTAGAGCTCTAGGTTCGACCTTGTCTTGCCTAATATGTGCATAGGCCACACAGCCAAATACTTTCAGTCTGTCGAGACTAGGTGGATGTCCCGACCAAACTTTTTCATGTGTCTTCATTCCCAATGCAGTCGAGGGACATTTGTTTATCAGGTAAGCTGTTGTCAAAACAGCTTCCGTCCAAAACACCTTCTTCAATCCAACACTAACCAACATGCATCTAACCCTTTTAAGGATTGTTCGATTGAATCTCTCAGCTAAGCCATTTTGTTGAGGTGTACCTGCTACAGTCTTATGCCTTGCAATCCCAAACTCAACACAGTAACTGTCGAATGCTTCGTTGCAGAATTTGAGGCCATTGTCGGTTCTCAACCTCTTAACCTTTCTTCCAGTTTGAGTTTTGACCAAAATCTTCCAACT